GTTCGCTTATTACCTTTACATATCTTCACAACACACGACAGGTTCTTCTTCAGGACTATAGTTACCGGAAGGTCTTCTTTGAGCCGAGATACCACACACTCCTCAGCAACCATTTCCATATCCCCACTGGGCGAAATAATGAGAAATTCCGGGCGCGTGGATGTGGGCAACGCACAACCCAGCTCTTCTTCAAGCCTCAGCTCAGCTATTCGGCGGACGACCGCGTGCCTTTTGCGATTCTTCTAGAAGCCTCACGGTTTATAGCGTAGCGCAATGAAAGACGCTAACCTTCTTTGGCTTCACGGTCGTGCTCTTCTCCTCGGCAGGAGGATTTAGCGAAGTAGGCGATGTAGCACCAGGTTTTACGCCATCTCTGCAATATAGAATAGAAGCGTATACTTATGCTGCAAACAAGAGGATTCACTGACATACCTGAAAACAACGCATCGCTTCTTTTCATGCGCGTCTGCGTGCGATGCATCCGGTTCTGCTTCATTCGAAGCATGGGTTTTCAGAACACCACGCGTCACACGAATGCCTGTTGAAGTCGATGGCGTAGCATCGACCGAATCGCCTCTGCAGTATGTTTCATTGACGACGATATATCAGAAAAACAATTGAATTAACAAACCCTTCTGCGTGTTCTCTCATCATCTTCTCGTAATCTTCAATGCGAGCAAGCATGGAAGCGCATGGGGTACAGACACGTGCGGGAGAACGCTAGAAAAAATTTGGAAATTTTAGAGTCCAACATTTTGAGACCAGAGCGAAATTCTATGAGAAAAAACCCAAACAAAAGAGAGAAAATAATAATCTGTACTTTTTTCGGGTCATCCTTCATATACTCAAGCGTGGCTCGCTCTTTACAGCAAGCTGCACAAGCCACACGACCGCAGGCTCTACAATGATGTCGCCGGTTTATCAGAGAAAAACGTGCATTGCACAGCATGCACATCGGACAATCATCATCAGGAATCCAGTAAGGTTTCGACTGAAAAAATCACATAAAT